TCTCCCCAAGCGGCTGGCCCTCCTCTGAACCTGCTCCAGGTTGGCCACATCCCTCTTGAAGTGCGGCGCCCAGTACCGGATGCAGTACTCCAACTGCGGCCTGACCAAAGTCACATAGAGGGGGAGTATCACCTTTCTGGACCGGCTTGAGACGCACCTTTGGATGCATGACAAGGTACTTGCTGGCTGTGTTGTGGCATTGGCGGCTCATGTTCATCTTGGAGTCAATAATGACTCCGAGATCCCTTTCCGCCTCTGTGCTTTCAAGAAGGGAACTCCCCAGCCTGTATGTATGCTGTGGATTCCTTCTCCCAAGGTGCAGCACCCTGCATTTGTCTACGTTGAACCCCATCCTATTATCATCTGCCCACTTTTGTAGTCTGTCTAAATCTAGTTGCAGCCTCTCTCTCTCTCCCTTCAAGTGTGTCCACCTTACCCCACATCTTAGTGTCATCAGCAAATTTGGACAGCGTGCTTTCCACCCCCTCATCCAAGTCGCTGATGAAGATGTTAAACAGTGCGGGCCCAAGGACTGAGCCCTGGGGTACCCCACTTGTCACATCTCGCCAGGTTGAGTACAACCTGTCCACCACTACTCTCTGCGTGTGCCCCATCAGCCAATTTTTTACCCATCCAACTGTGCAGGCATCAATGCCACAGTCGCTTAATTTATTGATGAGGATGGGGAGAGAGTCAGTGTCAAAGGCCTTCTTAAAGTCTAGAAAGACTTAATGTGCGTTATCCGGGAGCTTTCAAGACTTCCTAATAATTACATCTCTTACTTGGCTATTCAGATTATAAAATGTGTACATCAACTATATTATCATCCAAATGAATGTTTGACATGCACAACCTTACAGTTACATTTGCAGGTCACTTTCTCATAGATTAAACCATAACCAGATGGAATTAACTCAAGTACATTAATGCTTACCTGATCACAGAATGGAAAAGTTCTAATGATTTATCTTGCAAATATGTGATATTTTGGATCTATGCAGAAGCAAGTTCTGTGTAATTCATTGAATTTTTATTTGTTTTAATTTGCTTTTAGACAAGCTGGTATAAAGAATGGAATGTTTTTTGGCCAGGCAAAAAAGCTATGTCCAAATCTTCAAGCAGTTCCATATGATTTTAATGCGTACAAAGAAGTTGCACGGACATTGTATGAAATGCTAGCAAGGTAAAGTAAATTGATTGTTCAGATAATTATTTGCAGTGAGATCATCAGGCATGTTTACATTTGCCATTTTCCTGGATGCCAATATTTGATCTAGTATTTTCATCTTCATAAGCCTGTTTTTCCCTTTTTACCCTTCAAAATCATTCTCATCTTAGATCTTCTGTACAACTTTTTATGTTGACCAAATAACCTAAGATAGTCACTGTATTCTGAGCTGAATGGCTCAATATCTTGAAGCCAAATCCTGCAAAACAATCAATATGAGTCCTGTAGAAGTCAGTGTCAGAGTTTTCACTGACTTCAATTGGAGAAGAGTCTGGCTTCAGTTAATAAGTATAGAAGGTGCTGCCCCTTCCAAGATAACTAATATTCTTTAAATAAAATGTTTCAAGAACTGAATTTTTGGAATAATTTCCATTAAAATTTACCTTTTTATATTAATCTGCACTTGAAAAATTTGGGCAGTTCTCTTTCAGTGAAAATATATTTAAATTTTCTTCTCCAACTATTCTTCAAAAATCATGATCTGTATTGAAACTAGTTCTAAAAGGTAGCATTACTGTGACTTGGCATATTATTTTTAAACGTATACCTTATGTGGGATTGAGAATAAATAATCAGGGAGATGCTACCACAAAGGGAAGACTTTACTTGCTACGTATTTGTTTTAACAGATGGTGAGCTGTTGCTGCTGTTTCACCTCCTTTACTTTGTGTTGATAGCTATACTCATAACATCGAAGCAGTCAGTTGCGATGAAGCTCTAGTAGATATCACTGAAATCCTTACAGAGACCAGATTGACTCCTGATGAATTTGCAAATACTATTCGCACCGAAATCAAAGCCCAGACTAAATGTGCTGCCTCTGTTGGGATGGGTTAGTACTTCATTTGATATTTGCTTACAAATGTCACGTGCCATCCTTGAGTATATCAAAACTATATAAGACTGCTACAACATAAGCTTTTATGATATAAGTGAACTATTACCATTGGAATGCATTAATATTAAAGGTTTCAAGAATCCTTCATAATGGAAAGCTTTAGGCAACCTACCTATGGGTTTTGCTCCCACCTTCTCCTGTATTATAGAATATGTGGTATAATTTCATTTCTAGGATATTTTTATTAATTTTATATTGTATTACTATATCACTTCAAGTAAATTGAAAAATGAAAGAAGGGTAGCGTTCATGCTGTTCCTATCGAATAGTTTATTGACAAGAAGCAAAGGCTATATGTTTGGAAGGGAGGTATAGTATATAGTTTCATACCTTTAAAAAGATCTTGGCACTTCCTTTTTCTCTCTCCTTGCACTTTTCCTTCTCTTTTTTCTCTTTGTTCATAATTGCATTGTAGAAATGAGTAACCTGGGAATAAATACTCTGACACTTAAAATCCACTTGTGATTCAGGTTGAAATCCATTGTTCTAAGTCTTTGGAGGTAGTCCTCTTTGTTATCTCATTACTGTTATTAACTTAACTATAATTCCCCAGATTCATGTTCGTGTCACACTTTGCCTTGAGACATTTGAACTGTTTATAACCTTATTTAAAATGCTTATGCTTTCTTTAAAAATATCTTTTCATATTTGGACGTAGCTATTTATACAGATTTGTTTTTATATTACTTATAGAAAACCAAAAGTCTTCCTATCAAATATTTGTTCTAAAAACAAATACATTCAGGTACTCCAAGTGAGAACTTTACAAATTTTGTGATTAGTGGCTTTCTAAAATTCACACTGGTATGCTATAAGGATTTAATCTATTTACCATCAAAGCAGAATTAAATAATTAGAAAAGAGGAAGAGTGGTCCCATGGTAAGGGCACTAACATATATATGAGGGGAGAAACCTGGGATACAGTTCCTTGCTCTGCCAAACATTTTTGTGCGACTTTGAGTAAGGGTAAGAGTGCATGAACAAATTACCAAAAGTAAGTGGGTATTGTGGGTTTAGAGTATAGCAACTTCTCTGTGGCAGTTGCTTGTGGGCTTATTTTTTTCTCTCTTCCATTGAGTGGTAAGATGCTGCAAGGTGGCAGTAGAGAGCCCAGGGTTTTGCTGTGTAGTAAATTCTCATTGACTTCACAGTAACTTCCTTGTATGCCCATGCCCAAGGATTTAAGCCTTGTTTACATGTACTAAAATAACCTCAGATGTGAATTTAAACTGATATAGTTAAACCAATGCAAACTATTGTGATTAGATGCTCTTGTTTCTTATATGCTTTTTTTGGTTCAACTTCAGGCAATGAAATAGGTGTAGTTTAAATTCAGGGGTTTCCACTGGCCAAACTAAACCAATTAAATTTACCCTAGTGAAAATGTATTGACAAGACCTTGGTCATGATTCTGAGAAGTACTGAATACTTTATTGGGAAGCTATACAGATGGTGCATTAACAAAAGTCACTGACTCGCAGGGTAGCCATATAGTTACATAAGCTAGAGCAGGGGTAGGCAGCGTTTTTTGGCCAGAGTGCCGAAAAACACCACAATGCCTACCTTGAAGGTGCCGGAGTGCCAGCATGCCAGAAAAACAATGTGACGGCAGGTGGTACACGGCAGGATGTCCTGCTTGTGTCCTTTGCCCTGCTGCCCTTTGCCCCCCAGCCCAGGTTTTGTGGCTGTCAGCAGCTACCCCGGCTCTGGGTAGCTGCTGGAGCCTGGGCTGCTCCCAGCAGGGCTTGCAGCATCCCAGCTACCTGCGGGGACCAGCCTGGGCTCCCAGCTGGCAGCAGCTACCCAGAGATGGGGTCAGCTGCAGCCGGGAGGCTGCAAACAGCTGCACCAGGCTCCAGAGTGCTGACATTAGCTCTGTACCAGCACGTGCACGCGTGCCTTGGAGTGGGCGGTGGGGGAGGGGCCTGAGGCAGTGCAAACCCCGGTATCTCCCCAGTTTCTGGCACAGCTGGTGATTGGGCTCTGGAGCCTGGCGCAGCTGTTTGTAGCCAGCCTGGCCTCTGGGCAGCTGCAGCTGCACTGCCCTGCTGTGTGCCCCAAGGTGTGCGTGCAGTCGCCATGAGCCCAGAGCTGACGCTAGAGCTGTGGAGCCTGGCACAGCTGTTTGCAGCCTGCTTGCTGCAGCTGCCCAGAGCCCAGGCTGGCTACAGATGGCTGCGCCGGGCTCTGGAGCCCAGTCACCAGCTCTGTGCTGAGAGCAGGGGAGAGACCGGGGTTGCACTGCCTCAAGCTCCTCCCTCACCGCCTGCTCCGAGGCGTGTGTGCATGGGCCAGTACAGCTGATTCCAGGGCTCCAGAGCCCAGCGCAGCTGTTTTCAGCCTCCTGGCTGCAGCTGGGCCCGGCTCTGGGTAGCTGCTGTCAGCAATGGAGCCCAGGCTGCTCCCAGCGGGCAGCTGGGACTCTGGAAGCCCTTCTGGGAGCAGCCTGGGCTCCATTGCTGACAGCAGCTACCCAGAGCCAGGGCTGGCTGTGGCATGCCGGCACGCATGCCGGGGTGTTGCTGACCCCTGAGCTAGAGGGATGGGAATGACAACACTATCAGGGAGAACATGAGCCATCAGTCAGAAGAAATATTGAACATGGGAACCCTTGTTTTGTTTCATAAATAGAATGTTTCAGTTGTATTGGTGCCCATGAAATATGTATTGCCACCATTGTTGTCCAAAAATATGAAATAGTATTACCCTGCGGGATAAAGATGGGCACATTATACTGTAGATGATGTGATTTATCAGACCTTTCATAATTTTGTTTTATTCTAAAGCAAGGAGTTCTGGTGGTAGTGGTGTCAGGACATCGTTTTGGAGTTATAGATTAGCTCAGGCGTGGGCAATTATTTGGACCGGAAGGCCACTTCAGGAACTTAGGGGAGCTGTCACAAGCTGGGTCAGCACCTGGGAACATAGCGCAGGACCAGTGCCGCTACCCCTTTTAGGCCCTGGCCCAGCAAAACCTAGATAACCTGCAGCTTCTGGGCCTCTTCCCCCTGCACCCCACTCTCCTGCCAGCAGGGAGAACCTTATCTGAGCTTCAATTTGCCAAGCACAGGGTTGGAGCAACACACAAACAGCCTCGCTAGGCAGGAGCCTGGCCAGGAGCTCGGTGCCCCCTGCCTTGGAGCTTATACTGGGGCCTAGAGGGTGGGACTGAGCAGGTGGCCTGGGGAGGGGAGTGGCTGCTGCTGCTACAGCTGTCTGGCATGGGGAAGAGAGAAGGGTTAGAGGCACGGATATAGTTCTCAGAGGAGCAGCGGTGGGCTGGGTAAAATCATTTGGCAGGCCATATTTTGCCTGCCCCTGGCTTAGCTGGGCATGAAGCAGAAAAGCAGGAAAAAATTGGGGAAAATACTGAATATGTGCCTAGTGTCCAGATTCTGGTTTTATGATTAAATTACTGGAATTTCTTCTTGGCATATAAGAAGGCTCAAGTATAATTTAAATCAAATACTTCATTTTTAATAAAATTGACAATTTATACTCCTTTGCATAAAATACATCATCTCTTTTTGTTTTTTGAATGACGTAATATTGAGAGATGATTTTTTTATGATATTTTATTTATGATTATGATTTTTATAGTTTTAAAATAATTTCTGCTATTTGAAATTAATCTACCTCTGTGTGCATGTAGAATAATATTGAAGACTAATGTACTCTTAGGGAAACCAGGGTTGGGTTTTGTTTTGTTTTTTAAGTGTAGTGAGCAAAATTTATTTTTAGAAAAGTCCTCCTAACTCTCACCCCAAACCCTGCCAGTTCACACATTGGAAACAGGGAATGAAGAAGCAATGAACAAAACAGAGAATGAGATTAGAATTTGGTTACATTTGTCAACACTTGCTTCATCCTTATCTTCTGAATTGCAAAATGCTACTTATGATAGTGAAAATCACCATAGCCATCCCTTAATTATTTGTTTTCTTTCACAGGTTCTAATATTCTGCTGGCCAGAATGGCAACTCGTAAAGCAAAACCAGATGGACAATACTACTTAAAACCAGAAGAAGTAGATGATTTTATCAGAGGTCAACTAGTCACCAGTCTTCCAGGTACATTTAAAGATAGATTTATTCTTCTTTGGGATTTTTCAGATCAACATTGATATATGCACAAATTGGTGCTCATTATTTCAATGGTGGGTCAAATTACATTCCCAAAATTTGATATGAATGCAGTTGTCCATTATTCATAGTTATCTGAGCTGTAGAAGAAAGATAAGCTTTGGGGTTGTGTGTCCATACTTCTGTTATCTGGAATGCTCCTGCTGATATCCTCTCACACTTTATTTTACAAGCAGCATCCTTTTTACTAAAGATGTTAGCTAGCCACGTATTTGAAGGACGCAGAGACAAACTCAGTTTAGCATTTTAGGCAGTTTGTGTGTTTTAGCATGTAACTTTTTAAGCAGAGTGTATGCTGGCTTATTACAGAGAAGTTATTGTTAAGAATGCACTGCATAAAACAGTTGCAGATGGTTGTCACTTAGCAGTGTTTGGTTAGTTAGACTTGCTAAAGAAAGGTTGCTGTTCAAAGTATAACTGGTGTCAAGATTGAGGGATTTTTTTTTAATTGGGGAAAACAGGCAAAGGGATGACTAGTAAATTTGAACAACAGGAAACTGGGATAAATAGGTGATTATTATTTGTTAGGAAATAGCCAGTGAGAGAGAAATGGAGAGTGGAGACAAATAGAAAAAGGTAAAAGTAGTAGTAATCATGGGGGTGGAAAGTAAAGGAGATGCTGCAAAATTGTGGTATTAAAGAATAGACTAGAACAGTGAATAAAGAATAGTGTGGAAAGGAAACTACAGTCGGACATCTATATAAAGTATCTAGCCATTGGGGATGCACCAGGTAAATTTGGCGTGGTTTTTTTTAGGGAATTTTTTTTTTTACTAAAAGTTTTTTAGTTAAGTTTACTGGAACGTTAAATGACACAGGAATACATATGAACTTTCTCAATGGGGGCTAAGAAAAACTAGTTGAACTGTGACAACTGCATTGCACATTTGTAAGCCGAAGTGATTTCTATCATGTAACTATATAATTGCCCTTGTATATGCTGCTGGTACGTATGCACATATATATGACAGAGACAAGCCCCTGAAATTATTGATAAAATACAGCTGCTAACCTTGCTCAGACTGTGTGTGCTGATGTTTTAGGACTGTTACAAAGCTAATATACAATTCTTTTGTACAAGGAAGAAAGAGGAGGATATTATAATAACATTTTGTGTTTGTGTGTGCACGTGCATACACATGCATATAAAATTGTAGAATAAGGTTGAAGGGACTCAGGACAGAATCTGCAGGAACCCAACTAGACTTGGTGTCTAATTGAGCACAATGATTCAATGAGTTGGGTGTCCACCTTACAGTACTTCTGTCTAGTCTGTATTTCCTTAGCTTAGTAGTGAGAATGCCATGGGAGATGATGTCAAAAATCTTACTAAAGCTTGCTGTTCCACCCCTGTTTTCCAACCATCTACAAAACCTGTCACCTTTCTGTAAAAGTTAATCCAGTTGATCAAGTGTAATTTGCTCTTGATGAATCCAAGCTGGCTGTTTCTGGTCACCTTATTTTCCTTAAGGTGCCTAGAAATGGATTACTTGATGACCTGCTCCAGGATCTTTCCAGGTATCAAGGTCAGACGTAAGGAATTGCAGACCAGTCAATCTTCTTTCTCCCTTTTCTTAAAGATGAATATTATATTTGCCCTTTTCCAGTATACCACGACCTCACCCATTCTCCATGAGTTCTCCATGACCCGGTGACTCTTCAGTACTCTAGGGTACATCCTGTCTAGGCCTGCCAACTTGAAAATGTTCAGTTTCTCCAAGTAATCCCTAACCTTTTCTTCCACTACTTTTAGTTGCTGACCTCTTCCCTTGTTCGTGCTGCCAACAAAACTTGTCATGTGCTAGTCAACCTAATTTGTGAAAGCTGAAGTAAAAAAGATATTAAATACTTCAGCTTTCTGTATGCATCATCCATAACTAGATTGCCTTCTGCATTTAGTAAGGGAGCTGTGCTTTCCTTTTCTTCATTTTACTTCTGACATATTTATCAAATCCCTTTTATGTTCTTAGTAGTTGCATCTCAGATCATGCCTTGGCCTTCCTGATTTTCTCCCTTTGCGCTTATGTGATATACTTATATACTCTTCCGTGGTAATACAGTTGTCTACCCTTTTTGTTGGATTCTTTTTTGAGTTTCAATTTGTTGCTTAACCAAGCCACCCTTCTGCTGCACTTCCTGTTCTTTCTTTGCATCAAGGTAACTTGCTTCTAAACCCTTACTGTGGACTGTTTAAAGTACACCTAACTTCTTTTTCTCTCAGACTTGCCTCCCAGGGGATCCTGCCCACCAGTTCCCTGAGCTTGTTAAAGTCTGCTTTTCTGAAGTCTAGTGTCTTTTATTTTGCTGCTCTCCTTCCTTTCCATAAGATCTTGAACTCTTATCATTTTGTGCTACCCAAGTTACCTTCCACCTTCACATTCTCAACCAGTTCTCCCTGTTGGCGAGCAGGAAATTGAGGATTCATGCTGGCTGTTCTAATATAAACTACTTCAAATTAATATGAAGTATCACAATGTATTGAAATGTATACTGGTAAACATAAATTGCCACTTAATGTAGTACTACAGTTCTGACTTCACTCTTAAGTTTCTGAAGTTTGAGGAGGATTTATGTGATACATTTTTTAGCTCATCTAACTTTTTTATTGTCTACCCATCATCACCTAATTATAGTACATTTTCCAAAATATTGTATATAAGCAAATATGATTTAACTTAGAAGTCCTTTAGAGGTTTTTGGTATCATTTACTTGTTAGTAATAGGTAGTTTATGGATATGTTTCCATGTTAATGCACTGTTAAAATTGTGAAACAGATATTCTAAAAGTTAAAATCTTCTGAAGTTCAATGGTAATAAAAATACAAATTCATTCTAATTAATGAAAATTGCTATTTAAAAAAAAAGTATGTTATATTATAACTTGCTTCATTTGATGCAATAGAGATAGATATTTACAATTCTCAGTAAGGCTCTTAAAATACCAGAATCACTTATCTTTGAGCTAGGACTGCTTGGTGAAATAAGTTTCGACCCATTCCAAACAGCTATAGTGAATAGGTGGAGTCGTGTATACAGCTGTGAGCATACTCTGTATGTTATATTTTCACTTGTTTAAGGTATCAAAACTTTTGGGGACTTAAAACTTAAAATGTGGTACCAGCTTTCTTTAACACTTATTAAACTATTAGCACTAAGCAAAGTACAGAAGATGGTCCTTGACTAGGGGATGTACAGAAGGATTATCCTGCAAGCTAAAGTCTTGATACTTCACCCTGAAATAGGGACACACATACCAGTTAACTGTAGGGTAGCACCCTAAATTAAGCACGTGGTATTGATTAAGCAAAATGCCAAGATGCAAAAGTTCCTGGGTTGACATATGATTTTGTCTTTGTGATTAATTTTTCCTTAGAAAATTAATTAAATGCTAGGCAGCTTAGCATTTTTTTTAAAAGATAGTGCTTTAAAAATAAACACTTTGAATTTATGTGGACTTAACAGAACAAAATTTTTATTTTTTTTTGTTAGGAGTTGGTAGAACAATGGAATCAAAGTTGGCATCTTTGGGAATTAAAACTTGTGGAGATCTACAGTATGTTTCAATGGCAAAACTCCAGAAAGAATTTGGTCCAAAAACAGGACAAATGCTCTACAGATTCTGCCGTGGCTTGGATGATAGACCTGTTCGAACAGAAAAGGAAAGAAAATCTGTTTCAGCAGAAATAAACTATGGTATAAGATTTACTCAGGTAAATCTAAAAATATTTTTTTACAGGGCTATCACCCACTGCAAAAGATCCTCCTCTTTCCCCATGAGTACTCTGAGTATCCTCACTTTATCTTTGTATTAAATATCACTGTATGTTGCAGCCAAATGAAAATTTGACAGTCCATCAGTCTCTGTTCCAGGAATGATTCACCAGATTGGTTACACAGTACTATCGCAGAACTGTCCCGCTTGACAGACATTTAACTAGTTTTTCTTTTTAAGATACTGTGGGGTTTCTAATACTTTTTGTTAAACGGTAAGGATGTTAAAATAATATTTTCAAAAAGTATTAGTGCAAAGGCAAATGAGAAATAAACCATATGTAGAAATTATAAAACACTGTATCAGAATCTTCGTGTTCCTAAAATTAGACCTTTAATTCCATATAAGAGGAATTCCTAAACAAAGTTACCAATTTGCAGAAATCTCAACATCTGCATTCTCCACTGCCTTTGGTATCAAAATAAGAATTTAGGAGCTTATTTTTAGGCTAGTGGTTCTCGAGCTTTTTAGACTTGGGGCACTACTGAATAGACTCAAGGCACCCCTTGGAAAATCCCAGCTCTGAATTTTCACTCTTATTTTTTTTATTATTATTACAGAAAAATAAGAGCAATTTCTTCTGTTGCAGAGAACTCGGAAAAGGACCCAACAAGTCATAATGTTTCTAACAATATGGATTCCTATTTAAAATCTTTGGGTTTATCATGAGATTCATACCTAACATAGCTAATGTTGTGCAGTACCCCACAGGACCCTTAAAAGGATCTCAATCCACCCCAACATGCTAGGGCATCCTGGTTGAGAATTATGGCTTTAGGTACACTAGAAATTTTGGACCCAATGCCTTTACTGCAGTACATGCCCGTTATAATCTAAGGTGCAGATTGAATAATGTAGTAAACTATAATATGTTATTCCTTAACATAGGAATCAGGGAAAGAAAAGGAGAGGAAGTATAATGATCCTGGTCTAACAATGAAACAAAAAGCTTACCTTTTGGAATTTTCTATCTTTGAAAAGTTAAGCAGGGCTCAACTATTTTCATTTCAAAGGGAAAAATTTAAGGAATTTTAAACTGATGAAAATGCTGCCAAACTACATGATATTGTCTAATTTTAAACTAAGCTGAAGCAGTATAAACTGAGATCTTCACTAAAACTCCCAAAAGTCATATCTAGCTTCCTGTGCTCATTGCTCATTATCACCAGAAGTTCTGCAATTTGTCTTTAAACTCAAGATGATGAAAACAATGGTAATTTTAGATCAAAGTTAAATTAATTAAATTTAGTTTAAATTGTGTAGAAATGGATGAGTTAGGCCCACAGCAGATATTAATCTTGCTATGGGATCTGATTAATTTTATCCTGGATCCAAAAAATTGTGCATCCTGCCATGCCAGATGTACATAGCAGGACACACACATTCCATCAGGTGCCTGCCAGTGCAGAGAGGCCAGGATTAGGGAGCCAGATCCTGGACTCCCTGTACCTCCAGAAGCACAGCATCAAGGACTGATCCCTGATGCTGTGCTTCCCTTGCCACACTTTGATCATGCTCACACACAGGGAGCCTGGGCTCAGGGTGCCAGGTCCCTCATCCTAGATTCCCCATATGCCCAGAGCTTCAAAAGGTGCTGTGGGAAGCATAGGATTGGGGATTGGTTCCCAGTGCTACACTTCCCACAGCACTCTTTCATCTTGCCAGCATGCAGCTAGGCTGCACACATGTCTTTTTAATAAATCCTGGTATGCAGTAGGGTTGTAAACATAATTTAAAAAATAATCATGTAACTTCCTCTAATTATATTGGGTAAACAATTAACTGATAACACAACAGCTCCAACACAACCACTGCTGGGATCCTCTTCTGAAGCCCTTTGACTGGGTGAAGTGGGGGAGGTGGCAAGCCCAGCCAAATAACCGTCTACATCAGAGCTTTCCAAACTGTGTGCCGCAACACATTAGTGTGTCGGCGGCAGTGTGTAGGTGTGTCGCGCGAAATGCAGAAAATTTTGCGGAAGGGCACCGCGGAGCTCCCTTACTCGCGTCTGCTTCCCTTGGCCCCTCCCCCGGAACTGAATTACTGTCGCGAAATGATGCATGTCTAAAAAGTGTGTCACCAACATGAAAAGTTTGGAAAGCTCTGGTCTACATGAAGCCCTGCACTAGGAGAAAGGGAGCACCTGTGAATGAGTGGTAATTGCTTAATTGATGAGTCATTAGGCAGCCCCTCCCTCTTGCCTGCCCTGCTGTTTCCGAT